TAGTGAAAAGATGTGCAACATTAGCTGTTGACGCGGCAGATAACTTAAAATAATCCATTAATGAACCTCCTCACTACAGGCAGAGGCAGTTGCGATCATGGGACACGTGATCATACATACAGACTCCAGGGCAGCCACTGACTGCCTATAGCACTGCTTACACAAAGACAACATCTACCTCCTGACCACTATTCTTGCTCAGGGTAGAAGAATAATCATAAACTGGGTCTCCAGCATAATCATCTGAGGGAACGAGCTTGCTGACAGACTAGCTGACATTGGCTGGGGTATGCACCCAAATCACATGATCATACAGCCAAGCCGAAAAATCTTTTAGCACAAGTGTAATGCCACAGCTCTTGCCTTCCTCCTGCATCTTCACAGAGAGGAAACTAGATCCCCCCTCGGCCCATGGTACTCATATGCCACAGGCTATGAACCACTGGCATTCTCTGAAACCATCAGTAGAGGTACCGAAATCATTCTTCACAGAATCAGACTAGGTTGCCATAGCGCATAGCAGATCATACAAACAATTGACGGGCCGAATGCCACCCTTAGTAGATTACTTACAGAGTTGTGAGCACACACAATGTCTGAGACAGGGACCCCCCCACAACAGCCGCTGGGCTGGTAAAAGAGATTACGCCACATGCTTGACCTGCATTTCGTTTTGTCTTACAGTTTCATCCATTTCACAACAATACTGCAAGGAAATATAATTAACATGTTTTTTCGTACTTTTCATTTATCAAAATAGAGATAAAAGTGTGAAACAAAACATTAAGATCACGAACATATAAACACTAAAATGAAACACGAACTTTAAGTACAAAAATCATTTTGAAAAATAAAAACAAAAGAACTTATATAAAACACGTAAATCACCACTAAAATAACATGAATATCTCGTGTAACCTCAGTGAGAGAATCTTTTTCACAACCACAAATCTTTGTTTTACGGAAGGCCCATTCCGGGATTCCTCTATAATTGCCCTGCCCTTTACCAGGACCCAAACAGCATTGTCAACAGCCAGGTAGTAGTCTTGTAATGATATTTTATAGGTAATCGTGGAAATGGTCCAATGGTTTTATGGTAGATGGAATGGTAGTTCAGGGGAACTCCACTTTCCATTGAAGTTACAGTATGATGTTGATCTTATGGATCAACACCATAAGCCTTTAGTGTTTTACAAGGCACTATAGACACTGTGCCTCAGGAACACACGGGTGATAATCTACAGGCCTTGTAAACAAGGGTGCCACTATGCTCTATTGCTGGGTCAGTAGGGTCAAGAGAGGCTAGGGCGCTTGTGTGGCACTTGAGCCACAGTTCAGTACCGACCATTTCGTATCCTCCAAGGGGAGACATTAAGATCACCAGGAGACCAGTGAATGCATCTGTATAAGTAACTTGTTAAATGTATAAAGTTATTTCTTGTGTTTATAATAACCAATTGAAATAATACTTACAGAGTGAAACTTGTAAGAGGGAGTTCTTACGTTAAATTGGGAAGTATTATTCTTATAATAAACACTGAGCCCATCTGTTTTCTGTAGCCTGCGTGTGAATACACCTGGGGTACATACAACTTAATATCACCCTTGCAGATGAGTGTCAAAGTTGGTAGAAAGTAGCATATCAACACTTCAAAAAAGGCTTGGTAATACCATTGTTTGCTATATCTCTTGTGTCTTCCCTCGTAAACTTTTAGCGCAAAAAAATAAAAGAATTTAAAAATAAAATAATCTTATTTTTAGACTTTTTGCATGCCTGCAGGAACTGCTGTGACATAACTGATTCATGTGTTTATCCAGGAGGGAGTGGGAAGGATAGTGGGGATGGATGGCGGGTTAATGCATGTGATGCTGGGGGATGGGTTGTGTTGGGAGTAAGAGGAAGGGGTGTAGGGGAAATATGAGTAGGAGGATGGATGTTGGCAGTCACTTTGAGTGTGGAAGGAGCGGGGGTTGTGAAACTGGAGGGTGGATGAGGGGTTTCTGTGTCAGTTTGTGCAATGGTGTTGGTTGGGATGTTTTGACAAACAAAGGTTTTCTTATGAGAGGGGGAAGAGGAGACTGGTGCCTGAGGAGTAGAGGCAGAGGTAGGTGGAGGTGAATGTGTGGTAGGAGAAGTTGTGGAATGATTAGACTCTGCTGTGGGTAGTGCGAGGAGGGAGAGGGGGAGATGTTAAGGCTGCAGATTGAGTGTCTGGATTTAGAATGGCAAAACAATTTGACTGAGTAAAAGTGGGCAGAAGTGAGAATGTAAGATGGAGGAGGAATAGGTATATGGGAGGGTATAGGTACATCCTGGGAGGGAAAGGGAAAGGCAGAGTGAACAACATTATTGGAGTCAAGGAGTAAGAGAAAAACCTCATTGATATGCTTCCTGTCTGGCTACATGTAGAGTGAGGCCAAGCCTGAATATGAGAGTTGCCTCTTCAGACTCAAACTTGTAGGTGTGACAGCCCCTACAAAATATATTATGGGAGCCGCCACAATTGGCACATGTGCATAACTGTGCACAGCAGTTCAATCAGTTATGTCCAGCTTGGGCAAATCGAGGGTATCAAGCTGTTGAACCATAGTGTTTGACAGGATGTCCTACACGCCAACAATTTTGACACTAACAGAGGGAGGTTGATATGGTCAGACAGGGAGAGATTCTCTGCAAATGTAAACATTAAAGGGGAGGTCATGTCTGCAAAAAGTAACCTTGGGAATGTAGAACAGCCTCTAAGGGGAATGGTGTAGTATTGTACTGATACTACATCATAGTCCATGAGGCAGGCGAGTGAGTCTCCACAATCTGATCATTTTTTGCCACAGACAGGGCAGTTTCTTGGGGAGATGTATTGAAGGTGAGATGAGGTTTTGTAGGAATGGGATTGCCAGTGAAGTCTGCTTTAGCTTGGGTTTCAGATGTAACTGTGACAAGACGGGAATGCTCAGAAGGAAACTTTGGCTGCTTGTTTTTGGAGACATTGCAGGAAGAGGAGAGTGTTGTCAGAGTAAGGAGCTGGGGAGTGGGGGTTCCCATTTGGCTAGGCTAAATAGATTATTTAAGAAGTATGTAGAGATGGGGTTGGTGGAAGGTAGTATTGCAGAGAGGTGGACAATACGGTTGTAGAGTAGTAACAAGGGAGGATGGGGTAGTTGATGAAGAAAGATATGGGGTATAGATGAAATTGAGGGAGTTGGGAGAGGAGGAATGTCTCCTGGAGGTTGATCTGTTAACCTGGGTGGATGATGTGATGATGTAGGCAATGTTCAGAGTCATGATCAAAAGAGAACTTGAGGTCAGGGAACTTGGAGAATTTGAATCAGTGGGGCTATTTAATGAAGGGGTAAGCCTTATTGCTCCTAATAAGGGTATAACGTCTTCATTACTAGCCATTGTAAGCCTAGAGTATGTTGGAGAGAGAAACAATCCACCCCTCAGGGTCCCATAAGGTCAACCTTTCATCCTTTCAACATGGCTCTCACACCTTAGAAATGGATAATAGAAGGGATTGGAGAAGAAACAGAAACAAATAGGGGGAAAGAAAAAGACCATGTAAATTTAATTAGGCTGAGCCCAAGGTTGGGGAGGTCCCCAGCATTGGGTCTCACTCTGCATCTGGTAAGTAACCCCATGACAACAATGGACAAGAGATTGGGGGAGCACTGACAGGCAAGGGGTCAATATAATTGGATAAGACAGGAAGCTTTTAGGGAAGGTCATGTCTGTGGAAGGTAATCTTGGCATTATTGGTGTAGGACTTACAATGGCCTCTGGGAGGAATAGTATAGCACTATACTGCTACAGCATCATAGGCAATAAGGCAGGCAAGTAGGGCAGTCAGCCAGGAAGAAGGAAATAGTTCCAGTACAAGTATTAATGGAGGAGTAAGGTAGGCAGCAATAGGTTTGCAGTGAGGAGACAGATAATGCACAAGCTTGGAACTCAGATGTAATCATTACAAGGCGAGAACAATCGAAGTGGCTGCAAAAGGAAACTTTGCCTACTTGTTTTTGGAGACACTAGAAGAGGAGGGTACTGTCAGAGTAAGGAGTTGTAGAGGAATCGCAAAGAATTGATTCCACTTGACTTAGGAGAAGGACAAGGGCAGGATGAAGAGGAAGTGGTGTGAAGCAAGGTAGCACTGTGGGGAAGAGGACAATAAGGATGAGGAGTAATAATATGGGGGGAGTGGGTAGGAAATTAAGACTATGCAGGGGGAGGTGATGGACTAAAGGGAGAGAGGAAGGGATGTATTCTGAAAATTGAATAATGAGCTGAATGGATGATTCGGAGTGGATGGAGCTGTTATCAAAGAAGGCAGGGGTTGGGAAATTAAAGAAGTCAAATTTAAATAGGTTAGTTGAAAGGACAAGCCCCTAATATTGGCCATAGTGAGTCTGAATTTTGTGGAGAACAGAAATAGTCCACCCCTTAGGGGGGTAAGGACTAGGTGTTTAATCAAGAGAATATTATCCCCATGGCTCTCTGAGGCCATTCAGGACTCACAAAAGGCCAGCAAGTCTCCCTTTCAACCTAGCTCCTACATCTTAGTACATGGACAGAAGAGATTGAAAATGAGAAGGAAAAGGAAATGTTGGAGAAGAAAATACCATGCAAAATTAGTTGAGCTGTGGGCTGAGGCCCAAGGTAGAGGTGATTCCCAACACTGGGCCTCAGTCCCCATCTTCTATGCCCCCCATGATAGCAATGGGCATGGGAAGGGGGGATTAGAGAATGGTGAAAATTAACAATATGAAGTCAATATTTAAATAATCCTGAATATGAAACTTGAATAGTCCCTTTAACAATCATGCAAGATGTTAAATGTAGTTTGGAAAAATAAATGCAAAAGGTAAAAATTAATATATGATTATAAATGAAACACTTCAGGTTGGGCATTAATTAGTGTTCATTTTCTCATCAAAATGAATTGCTTTGAATCCTAAGCTTATTTGTAGTGCATCTGTGTAAAATGGAAAAGTAGACAGAGTAATTACCAAGATTATTTTATTTCAAACACTGAAAAATTTGACAAGGAATTACAATGGACTAAGCTGTTTCACAAATTAAGTTAATAGTTTTTCAATCCTGTGGAACTTTTTATATCTTCCTCTGCAAACACTTTCGACAAAATATCAATTCAGTGATATAGTTTAAGCTGAGTGACTACGGTTTCACAAAAATAAAAATGAAACAAAACAAAAAGTAATCAATTAGATTTCACTGTAAATAGCCTAGAATTTTCTCTCTGCTTAGCTTTAATCCTGAAAATGACACTGATAAAAGATACTTTGGTTTCCAGTGAACTTACTATCTTTCTTAAACAAGATAGGATTCAAAATAAAGACTAAAAGGAAAGAAAGAAAAATGTATCACTGACCTAAAATGTTATTTCTTCCAAGGCATTTTATGTTCTTTTTACTCAAAGTTTCAGTCAAAACATCTTTTCAGTGTGCTTCACTCATATTTCCTACTGATCTGAATTAATAATATGGCACATGTATTTTACAAAATCTTCTTTACTTGAAATACTGTCTACATTTCTAGTGATAATTATCAAAGATTACATCATGCCCAATGAATTAGACACAGTCATTACTGCATTTATGACTAGGGAGAACATGAAAGTACATAAAAATGGAATAATAATACCCTTCATTCCTTTTCACACTGTAAAACACTTCATATGTCTGAAAACAATATATACAAAAATCTTAACAACTATATTATTGCTTATTTCTATTAAAAAAAAAAAAAAATGTAAATTACAATGGGAATAAGAAGTAGAAAAAAATTGTGCGAATCACAATGCCACAACTGAGAGGTTTTAACAAAATCCCAAAAGTCCCATTTCCTAGAAAGATACACGTGATCATGTTGGTAACATTCCATCTCAAGTAAAGGAAATGTAGATATAAGCACATAAACAAATTAGTTTAATTTGTATATGTGTTTAATTAGTTTCTTTGACATTAGCTAGTGATCAACATATATACGTTTCCTAACTGATGTCTCTGTACTAGTTTGTAAAACTGAGCATTTTGAATACAAGTGGATACAATATAAAAATATTTGCTTGTGTAAAGAATGAGTGTAAAGCACTTGGATAACTGATACAAATGTTTTGCATCAGAGTAAAGAACCTCCATTATTACCACACATGATAGAGATATGACACAGAATTCAGACAAAGGCTAAGAGAATTTTTTTATAGGTTTATGAAAAGGTTGATGCTGTCCCCTTCTTCCATAGGCCATGTAGTCTTGACTTGTCATCAAAAAGACTTCGAAGTAAGATAACCTGAAAAAGAAGGGAAGGTAGAATAACAATTATATCAAGTAATTTTATATATATTGTCTCAAATATGCAAAACAAAGCTATATTTTAGAGTATCTAGAAATAAAGAAAAGTTACACAATAAT